ATAAAAATAGCTCGATATCTATGGCCTACCTTTCAGAAATCTCATTGGATGAAAAGGTTGTCCGAATCCTCTCGCTTAGGGGGTAAGCCGCTGTGCAAGGATTCCAATACAATTTGGCGAATAGTGTTTGACTACAACTGTGACATGCTGTAAACTAACCCACAACGCATCACGCTTGACTCAAACGGCTTGACTGAATTCTGGCTTCGAGAAGTTAGTAAAGTTGAGCACTATGCTACAGCCTCAAGAAAAAAAATGCAGGTGACTTTATCCCTGTTTAATGCATAGGAACAGTAGACGTGTGCATTCCCATCATACAAGATCTGCCATTCAAGCGCCACTTGAAGTCAACTACTGTGCAAGGATTCCAATACAATTTGGCGAATAGCGCCTGACTATATCTGTGACATGCTGTAACCTAACCCACAAGGCAATACACAATTGCATATACTACGCTTGACTCAACCCAGGCGTACAAACGGGAAAAGTTGTGTGACCCAAAGTGACCACACGATCGACAAGTAAAGTTGGTGGATCTTACCCGTCGTCACGTTGATATCAAGCCTTGGGTAAGTGACTTTCAAAATGATATCCTTTATAACATTGTTGCGGTGTTCGTCTTTGAGAAACCGCTTCAGCGTGTTCCATCGCTTCGCCGTGGATTCACCGCTCTCATTCCCAGTGGTCCACTGCTGATCAAGGCTGTTGCTTTGGGCAGCCATGTCTGCCGGCAAGTGTTTGAGCACAAACCTCACACCGCTGGGGTGTCGACTACTCAGCAAGTCCTGGGAAACACAGTAATCGGCAAAACGCGACTTTAGCAACTCTGCGGATGACTCAAGAAGGGGATGAAGCATTGGTTCGATAAGCCTTGAGTCATTCTGAAGTGATTTCTGGGTTTGCTATGAACGAGAAGCCACTCAAATAGAATATGAAACATTTGGAGGAAGAACCAAGGTACACACACACACACACACACACACACACCAAATACCTTTCGCGACTCGGCGCCATGAACAATGCTTAGATATTCGGCAACGGCAGTCCTGCCAACCGAGTCCAATCGTCTGGCTGCAGGATCGCAAACCCAACAATGAACACCTCGTCGACCTGAAAAGACCCACAGGATCTGCTCGAATCCAAAGTCTTCACGCAGCGCACGATCCATGCATACGACGGCACACTTTGCAAGTTGCCAACAGCGGTGGCAAACTGCTGTCTCTGAGCCCGGATTATTTGATCCACAGCAAAAACGAATTTCATCATAGTCCGTCAAATCGATATCAAAGACTAATTCTTTCCATTCCGGCTATAGATAACAAAATTATTTACAATAATGATGCATCGGATAATAGCGTACTAACTAGAACAAAATCTTAAATTTTGCTGCTACACAGAAGTGTGATTTATCATTGGTATCGTGAGTAGACTTCGATGTTAGGAAAAATAACGTCCATCAGTAACAAAAGCAACCTTTACGAGGAGTTACAAGGTGAGGAGTCAGGCAAATAAAAAGGCAACTGACGAACAGTGCGGCTACGGTCTATTCATAAGTTAGTTGTACAATGCGAACCCAGATATTTGTAGAGGATAGATCCTGTAACGATGGCGTCCGGTTTCAAGTAAACTGCATTTATCCAAAATAATGTAAACAATAAAAAAAGATCTACCTAAGTAGAGTTACATATTACAATTGTGAACCGAGCCAAATTAGAGCAAAAAAGCTTTTCGCTTTACGACCGCCATGGACATGTGCATAGTGTTTCAGCTTTAAATCAAGTGTAAGTGGTTGCAGGAGATTTGACAGATGAGGCATAGACATCGAGAAAGTAAAGTGAGTATACATAGAGTAATGTAGAAGTCAAACTGTAACTAACAAGCAATAATTACCGCTCGAGAAACAACAGCACGGGAGAAGAAATTCCATAATTCCCTTAAATTTGTACAACTAAACTATGATTAAGAGCTTCCAAGCTAAATTCCAGTACCTAAGTTTGGCTTTAACGCACAGAAAACCTGCATTACCCAATAATGATTACAATGGAAAGTTCCCATTCAACCAATTTCCGTATCGTTAAATAGCAGATTCAATAAGGGCAACGAAAAGCATAAGGCGAATGACAACTTACAGTAAATGAAGCGGAGGAAAGAGATCTCTGTAATTTCGGTGGAGCACTATAAACCGCACCAATATCGATTTTATGGGGACAGGACTTCACAAGCTCTTTTCTCAGTGACGAGGCGTCATTAAAACTTTGATACCGAACATACACATCTCCAGCAAGGGAAAAGCTAAATTCCCTCCTTGAAAGCTACGAATATCTGCGTAACAAATAAAAGCATCGAACCGTACAGTTTCGGCGATATCCTTTGTGCTATAAGAGAGCCATTTACATATAAGTTCGCATGGAAACAACTTCCTGTAAAATATCTTAAGCCAATGGTCTAAACGTTCCGAGTTTTCATCAAAGGTTGTATTCGCCATTCGTGCGTAACTGATTTAATCAAATAAGCTAAATAATTAAGGTTCCTCCAATAGATGGGTCTGATTGGTGTGATGCAGCACATCAAATTGGCGGCGAATTTACACTATCATTGTTCGAGATATTAAAACGACGACTTACAGATAAGGTTAAATTTGACTTTTTACATCTTCAAAACATTATTAAAGCGATTTCACAGCAGAAGATAAAGCTGCTTACCTATGGACCAAGTTGATATTTAAGGTATCTTCTCGCCTCATTCCAAGGTCGGAGACAAGCTCACACCCTATATTCATGTCTATTGCACTTGTTCAAAACGGAGGCTTTTTTAAATACTGTAAATATGCATTCACATTTTTAGGAATAATGTGAATATGTGATTCACCGCATTACGACAAAATGTTTTTTCGCTATCATATAAGTCCAAGTTGAGTGGCAGAGAATAACAACGTTTTAATGTTAACAACTGTCTGCCACGTTACTACATTTTTCTATAGCTGTAAAGCAATTTAAAGACATGGGTGAAGTAATTCTAAGCGTACATTTCTTGGCACTTTAATTTGTGTCAGGTAGTTTTATTTTTGATAAACTTTTAAGGCTTTGGATTTGAAAATATTTGACAATATAAAATGACTATTACAATACATATCATTTCAATGAGGTGGAAGTTTAACTCGAAAAATACTAATAGTGCTTTTTAGGAGACCTTTTCTTACAAACAGCGAAATACTGTGTGTGTGTGTGCAACAAGCTCCACCCTTTTTAGTTTGACATAGTCGAAATGCGTGCCCAAGTTAATAGTGTCAAACCAAGATAATGAGGAATAACTTCAGCCAAAAAGACATTTAACAATAGGTGCCACAGCTTGTGGGACGGCTTGTGGGTTGTTAATGTCACATAAATCTCGCATACCTCAGCACTTGTAGAATGCCGACTATTTATTGATTTATATAGTAAATTATCACAAATGTGGCCTTGATATATCATCTGAGACGTATTACTCAAAAATGTCGTGTTGTGAATCGTGTCGCTCCATCCTCCGACACAGGGTCCTCGTTTTCGCAGCATGTCACCAGCCACGCGGATCCTCAACTCCCACTCATTAACGCAAACGATTATCCTACGTTATCCTCGCGCCTAGGTCTCGATGTTAGTGCATGTATGACTCACACATCTGAGGTATAAATCCACACACGCAAACCACACAGACACAACACAACGACGCCAACGTGTTTGAGCTCTGATGTAAACGGTTGTGTTCTTGTCCTGTTCGGTCTTTTTCTTCATCGCAGATATCAGGCAAGCGTAATCAGGCACGGGTTAATTCAGTGGCCCTGGTGTGATTTAAGAGCACATGCTGCGGTCCACAAGAGTTGTAATGCCTTTTGTGCACTTAATAATTAGTTTTGAAGACAGTAAATTAGTTACTACCTGGTTGTAACCTGACGTCATTACCCTGAATTATGCAAGCCATTTTTTTTTGTTATGGTTTACTTTTTTCACAGATTAAAAACCCCAAGAGCAAACAATCGGTGTCATTTCGTGTGTGAGTCAGCGTCTTCCTAAACTTGGACACGACATGCCCTCAAACAGAGAGCTTTTACCGTCTCAGCTAGTGACTTAGTATGCATTGAGGTGCGTGTAGACGTCCACAGGCAAAAGTTACACAAGCCCGTTTATAGACATCCATACAGACTTGGAAGTATGGCCTTTGTTACTTTGGTCCTATAGTTAAAGAAGATTTAGTGAGATTCTTTCCGGTTTGGCGTCAATTGGAAACCTTAGAATGGGTTTACGATTTATTTATATAAAATGAGATAAGCGAAGGACATACCAACGAAGAATTTTAAGCATGATGACTAAGAGGTGCTTGGACAATCTGCAATTGCCGCTATGTGAGTCTTATGTTGGTGAGAACGGCGATGATAACCGCATCTTCGTTGATGATAGAATTGCTGCAGATGGGTGTATCGGTCGCGATTTTGTTGAAACTCAATCTTTTGAAGCAATCTAGACCTTGGAGGTTGGACTTTGTGCTGGCAATAAGACTTGACTGTACTCCGACCACTGATAGATATTTTTGGGGTAGACCTGAGTGAAGACCTTCTAGGGAAAAGCTATTTTTTGTCCGAGCTGATAGTGTCTTGTTACAGACGTTTTAAACAGCCATTGAGAAGGATAGTTGTGTACCTCCAAGGAGTTGGCCAGTAAGTTGTCTATGCTTAGCCCACTGCCCTGGACGTTTAGCAGCTTGTTAGCCCTAAAATAACCAAAACTCCGCTGGAATCTTAACTCCGCGACAACAGAGACAAAATTGGTGACATAGGGGATGTCACGTCAGCCATGTGTGTCAGTGTCGGGATAAGTGAACGTGTGGATCAGGCAACTGACAACAGTAACCAATGAAATGGGAGTGTCATTAGCACCATTGAGTCAATAAACAAGCATCACTAAAGCGCGATCTCAGACAGTCCGTCACGGGCTTTCCTGTCCGGCTTAGCCAGGAGCTACTTGCTCTACATGGACAGAAGTAATTCACAGAACCCATCCCTTTGGTCAGCGACCTTGCGTAGCTGATACCAAATTTTCGCGCATGAACAGAACCAACAAGCCTAGCGAGTGTCCCGTGACCTCGTAGGGTGATTTGTGACTGTTAATCCCAAAGCTGATTCCGACTGTCGTGCGGTCGTTGGGCCAAAAAATTAATATGCGTTTAGACCATCCTGCTGAAGAATTGAATTGACTTTGGAACCACGGTGCTTCCAGATTGAACCTGATTGACGTCATGTAGTTCGTGATCAACAACTACTGCATTGTCCGTCGCGGAGTGTTCATGCACTAAGAGTTTAAGCAGTCAAAAGTGAATATCTGTGAATCTTGGATCGTGTTGGCTGCAAATGGAAGGGGTAAAAAATTAATTGGCAGTGAGGCATCAAAACTGGAATTTATCGTGTTCCCGATTGACAAAAAATGGGTGATCAAAGGAGTTTTCGCAATCCTTCACTACCAGTTCACGACTCCAGTGTCACATGCCGAGGTTTTAGATGAAGGATGAATTACCTGTACTGAATTCACGAATCAAAAGCCGAACCTTTAGTGCGTCGCCCTGCAACGCAATGTAGAATTCGGAGAACCTCTCATCATGTCGGGGTCACCGAATGTTGTGGGCCCCAGCATGTGGTCCTGAACCACGCCTGGACTGCTGAGTTAGATCTGGTCCGATTTTGCTTCCTACTACCTGCGATTAAGACCGAATAGGGCGTGGACACAACCGTTTACTTCAGAGCCCAAACTAATTTGGTATCGTTATGTCGTGTGTGGCGTTTGCGCACGTGTATTTATGCCTCAGAAGTGTGAGTCATAGATCAGCTAACATCGAGACCTAGATGTGAGGACAACCTAGGATAAATGTTCTTGCGAATGGGAGGGGAGTTGACGATCTGCGCGGCTGGTTACATATGTTTAGAAGGCGGACTTCGTGTCGGATGCTAAGGTTATCAGTTTAGTGACCGCGACCCAAAGCGATTCACAGCAGCTTGCCTCCTAAGCGAGAGGATTCGGACAACCTTTTCATCCAATGAGATTTCTGAAAGGTAGGCCATAGATATCGAGCTATTTTTATGTCGCCGTCGATGTGGATCGAACTGAGAATGGTCTCTCTATTAGCAAAAAAGCCGGAGTACCTTTTCTTCCGATGGGAATCCAGAAAGGTAGGCCGTAGGTTTCTGCAATCGAAAAGTGGTCCAAGTGAATGTATAAATGAGGCGAATTGTTGTTGTCAGAAGTCGTTAGAGATGAATCGCAGTTGCCGAAACAACCTTTTCTACCATTCGGATATCCGAAGGGTTGATCGTTGGAGAGGTCGCGCGCGATGCAGAATCGTAAGATCTTTGACGTCTTTCGATCTGGATGGGAGTCGATAGGCAGAATTGGTCAAAACTATCTGCTGCAAAACCATCAGAAATCGAGGCTAATGATAGTCACAAAATCGGCTGTAGTGGTTAAAAGCAGAGAGACACGATGGATAAGACCAGGCTGTAAAAGGAGAGACATTTCTAAAAATAAAATCGGATACAATGTCTCAGAAGGATATATGGTTGGCATGGGATGATAAGAGTCGGAGAACATCGTCCTGAGTTTAGCAGCATCTAGAAATTAGGCTTGTGATGGGAATTTACACGGCCGTTTGCGTCTACTGTTCCTATGCGTTAAACAGGGGCCCTGTTCATGGGATAAAGTCACCTGCATTTTTAATCTTAAGGCTGAAGCACAATGCTCAACTTTACTAACTTCTCGAAGCCAGAATTCAGGCATTGTTGCTACATTTTTTTTCAGGCACTGGCCACTTACTGAAAAGTCCGTTCTGCGTTCACCCCAAAACGGGTTTCGTGTGTGTTCCGATTGATCCACAGCGCATCGACGAGTTTGATCCCACGAAGGTGCCGAGGTTGGGCGAGCTGATGGAGCAGCTGTCGCAGGCGAGTGCGTCTGCAGAAGGAGAAGCTTCTGAAGCAGCAGCATCAGCGCAGCACCTTCTCCCATACAAGCAGACCACTCTGCGACCGTATATCGAGTTTTTCGACAACTTTGTGAGTCAGGTTTGCGCCCCGAGAAGCTCGGACGCCAGGCCAGCCAATACAAAGGACGGTGTTCGCGCTCATTCGACTCAGGCTATTCCGGCGTGATCTACCATGCACAGGCCCGAATCCTGTGTGCAAACAAGACATTTATACCATTTCACACAGTCGTTTTCATGGTGTTGATAGGAATGTGGGAGAGAGGCGATTGGCGACGGTGCAAGTAGCACTGTGTGAAAGTGACTGATAAATTACCGAAAATCCAAACCATCTGACCAATGTGCTAGCCCTAACTCCAGTGCCTGAAGACAAAATGCTAAGTAGGCGAAGATAACAGGTTGTTGATGTGTTTGTGAAACGTGGTGACACTTGATTCCTTGGTCGCCTGTAACAGATCCCTTCGTAGCGTTGGTGTTCACGCGGGAGACAGGTATCACGGAACGGGAGAAGTCCGTGGGGAATTCTTTGCAGGTTGTTGGCTGTGTGAGCAGCAAATTGGTCGATTAGTGGTCAGTAGGCATTGCTGTGGGCAATCGACATTACTCAGGTGGTGCCCCTGCGATCGAACTGAGTTGGACAGAGGACAAGTGAACAGACGGATTTGGTCAACGCGATGTGTCCTTCAAACGTCAGGGAGATGTCTGCGTTGAGGAAGGAATCCTGTTGGTGGATTAGCTGCTGTAGGTGACCGGTGAAATAACTCTTTCTTTGGCCATCTACCATTGACGAAATGGATGGACAGCCCAAGTGATTTGTATGGGGAGGTCTTCTGCTGCATGACATGGTGAGTGACTCAAAACGTGCGGCCAATCTGAGCTAGCTGCTACGTAACCCTCTCGTTGGTGTGTTCGAAGCGACTATGGCATCCTCTTCCGTGATGGGATTGCTGCGAATGGGTGTGTTTGGTGACTGCAAGCCTTAGTTAATGAAGTGGATCGGGATATCATCTAAACCCAGTCTGTCGCGAGTCGTCTTGGTGTTGACCACTGGTATTAACCGTCGATAATTAACCACCCCGCTGAAGATCTGTTTTGATTTTGGGACCACCGTGCCTCCAGATTGGATCTGGTTGGATTCATGCTGTGCATAGGCCTTGACGATTGTATTAAACCAAACCCGGATCATGTTGGCGGCAAGTGGGAATAAGGGGTCAAAAGTGGTCATCGGTGGGAAACTCAGGATGGAATTCATTGCGACCCCACATTGACGACTTCGGGATGACCGACGAAGTCGTCACACTCATTCTTTACTAGTTTACGAAACGTAAATTGTTTACTGAACAAAGGAAGGCATTGACCAGGTGTATGGCTTAGCCGTCCACAGATGCTGCTGTTTACGATGGATGATGGGGTTGCAGTACGAAGTGAACGAATAAGGAGCCCAACCTTTATTGCGACATCTTGTGACGCAAGATCCCGGTATTTCGTGAACCTGATTTCCAATGCGGCACCGTTTCTGGGTCACCGACAAGCAATCTGTGTGCGTTGCGATCAAAATCGATCCGCCTAACTCAGTTCAAGCCGCCTGAGGAACTGCTGCACCCACCCTTCACGCCCGACCACTACAGCGCTGTCCAAATCTGTCATTAATTTGACAAATAGACGTGATTCCGTGTTTGTGAATCCGTAACCACTGCTAATCTGGCTTGTACAATTTCCGGACATGTGCTGGTGATAGGTGAAGCGAAGTTTTGGATGACATGAAGACTAACGGTGAATCGGCAATGGAGATTCCCTCAGTGCAATGGAGATATGAGTAGTGGTGATCCATTTTACCAGCCAATGACGACAAGTGTGTTGACTTCGTAGGGGTAACTGAAAAAGTGTTCAAGTAAATGCACTTCCTGTCTAATGTGGTGGAGTCTGGCTGGACTAGACTTCGGACATGGAGAAGACAGAAGTCGTGTGAAAGCAGTGCGAGTTAGTTGCTGCTTGCGCATTTCGACAAGTGGTCGGGGGTATTGTCTCGAGGTATTGACGCATAAAGACGATGAGTCGAACAGCTCCTCACTTCGAAAAGTAAATTTGCAATGTGACATTTGTTTCTGCACCACCAGTGCTGCCGACCAAAACCACGCGAGTCTCAATTCTTCACTAAACCAATCAACTTGGTCGCATTCCCTCGGAATCTTCGTCCAAAAGTGACTTGTAATTGGTGTTGGGTCTGAGTTTGCTGAACATGACCACGTCCAAATGGTGTAACATTATTCAAAAGCCTATTCATCCCTAACCATTCAAATCGTTCTTTGTAGGCATTGTTATAATGTCGATTTCCACTCCAAATCACGCCTCTGAATAGGTGGAGATTTCCATGCCTTTTTGTACGACTGGGTTAAATTGTGGGTGGCAGTCGCTGGGAACAGAGTGTGCGACTGTGAAACAACTGCACAAATTTAATTTTCGATGCGTGTGTGTGTGTGACAGAGAAGTGACTGAGGCGAGAGTGAGAGATAGAATAACCTAAAATGGACCTTAGATCTACTAACGAGTGTGTGTGAAGTTTTAGCTTAGCAAAACGCTAGATGTAAAGACGGTTACGGTACAGAAATTGAGGAATTATCCGATAACACTAAACAATGGACCAGATTTACAATCACGGAGTTCACGATCCGTGGGCACTTTGTGAACGAATTGCGTGATGGGTCGATCTCTACATTCTAGGAGACGGCGGATCTTAATGTGCAAATATTTTCACATTCGCAGTCTGGAATCCGGTTGACCAGTTTTGACTCATCTGCACGGATCGTGTACCAGGTGATCGTTGCCTTTACCTAACACGACCTGGTGCTTCAATTGAAAGGCGCTTCAAAGATACTCAGTCGAGGCGTTCATGGAGAAATCGGTTACATCATCATCATCATCATCTTTAGATGCGAAAGGAAAGGAAACTAGAGGTTGATTCCTAGGAGGCAGACAGGTGAAACAGAACGAGGAAAACTTCTACGCTTCAACACAGAATAACCCCTTCAGGGCAGAAGAATAGAAGATCATAAGTGTTCTGGTTGGATCTGGTTGGTTGGTGGATGGTGGATGTCATATTTAAGTGAGAACGTTGATCAGGCCATAGGAACGGATGAACGTTAAACGCATAAGAACACGTTAACGTGGTGTTTTTGTAGGAACGTAGTGGGCTTCACTTTATGCGTTAAGTGGGTGTGGTGTGCCATAGAAGCAGACAGTGGGACGCGTCATCTGTGCAAATCTTAAGCCAACAATTGCTGGAGCGTTGAATTGAGCAATTCTGACGGTTTCATCAGTGAGGGTTGGTAGGTCTGTTGCGATTAGACTCTGCAGTGAATGCTTGTGATGGAGGGCATTATATGGGTTTTGTTTCAGGTTGAAGTTGCGACTGAAGTGGTCGTTCCAAATCACCCAGTGCGTCGGCATTCGTGTCCACAACTAGGCATCTCCTTGCAGACGTAAGTGAATTAATGGTCACTGGTGAAATTATAGTAATATTGTACTACCTGTTGCTAGTTTCTAGTGCGTTGTTAAGTTGAAGAGAGCCCCAATTGAACAACTTCTGCTCTAGAAAGCCATGGTTGTGCACACTTGAGCTATTTATCACTCTCTGAATCACGAAACCTTATTCAAAAGAGGCGACTGGTAATACCGAAAGAAGCTTGGGTTAGCATCTACCGTCTCTGATGAAAGCCAAGAGCCGTTGGCCATTCCCGTTTCACTGGCGGTCCAGATCATTGAGAAAACCTGAGGTTCTTTTGCACATCTTGGAAGTGCAGGTGAGGCTGTGCGGGCGCTCTCCTTGGATGAACTAGCGACTGTATGGAGTCCGGGAATTGTCAGAAATGTCGTTAACAGCATGCTAGAACACACAGAACGCTCTAACGGCTCAAGCCACCATCTAACGATCCAGTACCTCGTGCCGACGTAACACTTTATCTTCTACCAATCACTGCTTCAGTAGATTTAATGGTCCACGAGTACACACCCAACCTACACTGGATGTTTTGGTAGCCGTCGTCAGGCGAACCATACCAACACCATACACTGCTCACCAAGTCATCACTAGGCCTTCATACGAAGATCATAGTAGAGAGATCAAGCAGAGTCCGGTGATTTGGCGTCGCCCGGAGTGGTTGAGGCCGGAGAACGAACGTGGTTGAGTAGGGCAAGAGTTGAGGAACGAAACCAGACGGATGCAGAGAGGTTTAGAGGGTGAAAGTAAGGTTGGGTGACTGAACAGCATCGGGACAAGCAACGCAGGGGCGAAGCGAGCGCCGAGTTGGGCTTAGCGACGTAGTCGAATGTGAAGGGAGGTACACGGAATCGGACAGTTCCCGAAGACCGTGGAACATCAGCTCGTAGATACCCGAAATGAGATCAAGACGGGGGTCGCCAATTGTTGGGGTCCCCAGTGCAGTTTGTGAACCACATCTTGTCCGACTCTCAAAGTTGAAACAACCCAACCAAGATAGAGAATAGGTAGAGATCCTTATTTAAAAGCTGCTCTCCCGTAGGTTTCGAGACGGTGATCGAGTAGAGGACCTGGGAAAAGACCGCGAGCGATTCCGCCTAAATGGGGTGTTATAGCTTCTGGCTCGGGCAGTCCTGATTAACATGGCATCGATTGCCGCTTCGATCTTGACTCAGGTGTCCCTCAGTTCGGCGATTTCTTTGGATGTTTTGTCTGGTGCAGCGACGTTCGACCATCTTCGGGGTCGAGCGTTAATTCCCGAGACCCTTGTCGCTTTAGACGTTTCCACTACCAGGTCTGCTGTATCTGCCAACTGCTCGAGGGTTGACATTCTAACAAACTGGACCAGAATTGGTCGGGCGGCATTTGATAGTCGCACAATAAGAAAATGCTTTCCGGGAATCTCCATGCAAAGTATCATGGTTCGAGAGCCGCCGCCTCAGGTCTTCTAATTCATCACAAGATATGAGCTGTCCTGTGCGTTCGAATGTTGACTTTTTTGGCTTTTAAGTGATCATAAAAAGCTTGCTTGATGGGGTTGAGCAGCACAGCCTATAATTTGCTTGCCAATTCGCTGGTCAGGGCCGAAACTAAATGCAAATACTTTGCATACTAACTGATGATGTTAGGTGCGAAAAACTGTGCATCCAAGGCTACAGACAAACCAGAAGTAGGTTTTGGCCAGAATGGAGGCATTTTCACACTTATTCCGACCACGGTGGTTGAAGGTTAAATCTGACGATCGCAGACGTCACGGTCACTACGTTGTTACGACGTGACTTACCACAACATGTCCGACTCTCAACATTGACGATGCCTGACCAAAATAGAGAAGAGGTAGAGAGTCGCCAGATGCAGCATCTTCGTTTGCATTACCTCACAACCCGGTTAGTTCGTAACAACACGGAGAAGAGAGCCAAAACCATCCAATCAAACTTTACGTGGATCTTATTTCTTCCAGCTAGACAAATGATACACAGCCTCAGCTCATCGCAACTACCTTGGCTCAAGCACATGGGTACCCCCATACAATTAGATCATCGTAAGACTAACAGATCACTCGATTAGGGACAATGTCGACACCCCTACGGCGCCCAAACAACTAACCAAAGAAGTTCAGACACAGGAAACAAACTCGAAAAGAGCCCCGACAAAAGGAAAAACAAAGGATCACATACACAACTTTACTTTTGAATTAACAAAGAACATGAAAAAACACGGTCGAGATGGTGTAGTCGGAGATCTTGTTATTAATTCTTCTTCTTCCTGTTCCGCCTCTTCTTGTTTGTGCCCGACGCACCACCAGCCTCACCGCCTTCTTCTGGTGCGACAACCGCCTCTGCTGGTTCGGGGCCCTCTTTCGCACTCTCCACAGGGGCATCAGGCTCTTGGTGTCCTGGCTGCTCCTTCGGCACCTTCCCCTTGGAGGGCAGCTTCGACTCTGACGGCGCCGGCACGGCCTTCTCCTGATCGATCGGTGCCGCCTTCACAAAGGGAATCTTTGTCTTCAGGCCTACAACCCCAAACACAAACAAACAAATACATAAACACAGCGGTTTTGGGGGATGCACAGCCACAACACAACGAAAACAACAACAACAACTAGTTTGGAATCGTAAACTTGGCAGCCGAAAACAAAGACAACTCCGTGAATGCTACACCACAAACTGGACAGGAGCACACCAGTTTACACCGTGAGTCCGCCCACCAAGCCAAATCCGCTTACAGCAAAATCAGTCATACCGTACACCAGGAGTGTAACAGCGCGTAAACACGACTACCAAATTGTGAGAAGCGCATTCCAGCTTAAACCATTGCTCACGTCGATGTTAGGAGGATTAAGTTACCTACACGATGGCATCCCGGAGCACAGTTCACTCAACAACCTCCCATACCACACCGCATGAGAAAAAGTCGCCCACTCTCCCACTCACCACACAATGGATCTCCTGTCCGCTGTCACGGCTCGCTACTCTTGACACCAACTCAGCAGCATAACGCAAACACCACATTAATCGCATGTCCAAACACTGGTTGCATATGAAACAAGTGAAATCGATCTAAGCTAAGCAGAACGACACATGGACACAAGTGAATGCCTCATTCTGCCACTTCGCATGTGGGCGGCCCGGCCCGGTCCTGGCCAGGGTTCTGGGAAACTCCTCTTAGAGTCGCGCAGCTGCGAGGGAAAGGGACGCCCACAACTGATTTCCCGCAAAGAACCAAGTTCAGAAATTGGACCATCGACTGCACAACTAGTGGCAGGGCATCGCGGCCATACAACACCGGGAACCTGCCACCACTGACACACCAGTTACGCAAAGACTTGAACCACAACACATCTCACGAACACACCTCCAACATTCGCCTTGAGGAAATAGGGGCAACTTCGCCCACACTTCCACTGACTCACCCCAACGCCAACTAAAACCAACAAACATCTCACAATGGGGAATGACGCACATCTGTTTTCTATCACATGGAACCACTCTAGTGTCAATTAAAGACCGCTAACCAAACTGTACCAGTTGAACAAAAAGTGCATTGCCTCGCTCGGATTACGGCACAGGGTGGCCACAAAGAACACGCTCTAGGCACAAGTGGAAGAAACTCACCTTCCGGCATGAATTCGCGCAGCGCCTCCGGCACGACAATCCCATCCGACGTCTGGTAGTTCTCGAGAATGGCACAAATCACCCGGGTGGTTGCGCACATCGTCGCATTCAGCATGTGCACGTACTCAACCTACAACACACCCACACAAACACCACGTTTAGCTAGCAAGATTCTGTGGAAAATACCGATTTGCGCGACTGCACCCATGCACACCATGCCCACAGCAAAGCAACAACTGATTCAACTTAAACAAACAACACCACCTACTCACCTCTTTGCCCATTTGTTTGGTCTGTCCGAAACGAATACCAAGACGGCGCGACTGGTAGTCGGTGCAGTTGCTGCACGAGACAAGTTCTCTGAAGGCCTTCGAGCCCGGATACCAACCCTCGAGGTCGTACTTCATCGCGGCAGCGTTGTTCAGCTCACCCGACACTATCGACACCACCCTGTAGGGAATGCCAAGGACCTACGCAACAAATAACCAACCACTCATGAGCTGCCTTTAGCAAAGCCAACACCAAACACGTCCTCAACAAATGTACAAAATGTTTGTTTAAAGCCCTAACCCTCACTGGTAACTAGCACGCATCGTATGCAGCCTCGTCGATTTAACAGCCCCAACTCACCTTGTACAGACTCTCTGCGGTTGCAATCATCTCGTGGAACATCTCCCAAGACGCGTTATCGTGAGGTGATGTTATGCAAAATTGCTCGACCTAAAAGGCAAACAACACGGTCAAATATCAACAACAATGTTTACTAGCAAAAAATGCCGACTC